TGGACTCTCAGTGATTCTTAAGAAATCTCCATCCTCTGGCTCTTGTCAATTGGGTAGGATCTGTTCTCCCCTCCCCTCTTAGTGGGCTATCTGGTCAGCAACAAAAGCATGGACAAATGGCTTGCGCTGGCGATCAGAAACAAGGAAGTTTCAGGCATGGGAGGGTCCACTCAGCCCCAATAAAGTTAAAGGGGCTGAGTGTGGGGAAGTTATTTAAAAAAAGGGGGGGTGGGGAGTGGAGCTGGCCAGAGAGGAGTGGAGTCTATGATTCCCAAAAGAGAAATCAAGCCATCCAAGTCCTGTATTTGGCCATCCCCAGGAACAAAGACAGTGGTAAGAGACCCTCTGAAGGTGGTCTCCATCAGTAAAAAGTGTGCAAAGTAATGGAGATGATGAGGACGGAAGCTTGGGGGGAGAGGGGGGAGACAGCTGGGTATTCTAGATACTGCTGGAAAAGACCAGCCCTAATAGACGGGGAACAGTGGTCCCTTGGAGTGGAGCAGGCAGAAATGCTGGAGAGGGGGCTGGGAAGTTGGCTCAGTGGTAGAGCGCTTGCCTTGCATGCCTGAGGCCCTGGGTTCGATTCCTAAGCACTACATAAGCAAAAAGAAAAAAGCCGGAAGTGGTGCTGTGGCTCAAGTGGTAGAGCGCTAGCCTTGAGCTAAAGGGCTGAGGGACAGCGCCCAGGCCCATGACCAGACCCAAAAAAGAAAGAAAGAAATGCTAAAGAGGAGGCTGGCTTGAGTAATCACAGAACTCAGGGCCATCTTGTGCTGACCCAGCCCCTTTGGGAGAGGGGGGAAGGGGGAGGTGGTGCGAGGACTCACACTTCTATCATACCACAGAGCCGGGAAGCAGGAATGGCCCCCTCGCAGGCCACACCTGCCCTGCCCACTAACATATTCATTCAGGCTTTAACAATAACCCCATACATAGCTCAGTGCACACTAGTCACTACTCAGTACACACAAGAGCACAGTGGGCCCCCTACACACACACACACACACACACACACACACAGCCCTCATTCCTCTTCCTTCCCTACCCACCCACCCCACCCCCACATACAGCTTCCAGGGCTTGTTGGGTACCCTCAGCCAAGATACTCCTTTCATTCTCTTCCCCCATTTCTGGGTGCTGGTGTGCTGAGTCCTTCATCTTGAGCTGGAGCTCTTGATGTTTTGTTTGTCTGATTGCAGGTCCCTGGAGCTAGAAGCTAGGGAGCTTCAGGAGCAGGGAGTGGCTACACCAGCCCTCCTGAGACCTCTGAAAGTTGGGTAGAGAAAAAGCTGCCCTCTGTCCAGCTAGACTCAGCTTCCAGGACCACAGCCCATCTTCTGTCACACTCAGAGGGACTTGGGGGGGTGGGGGAGGGATGTCTGAGGAGGGGCTACAGGAGTTCCAATAGAAGATGAGATCACATGGCAGAGGCCCCTGGGACAGCCTGTGGCTATAGCCCTGTCCACAGCACACCCAGAGCCCAGTGAAGAGCTCTCTCCCAGCCCACATTTACCAAAGCCGGGCCTGGCCAACCTCTCTACACCTTTACCTAATCCTGTGAGAGGGTTTGTCTTCTCAGTTCATGGATCAGCTGAATCCAGAAAATTCCTAGGCCCCTCCCAGCTTCTCATAAGCCCTCAGGCTTCCGGCATCTCATCTGTCAACCAGAGGGAAAGCAATGAGAAAGTGGGGCTCAGGACAGCAGCGCCTTGAGACCAAGCATTCTAGGGCCTAGGTTTGTTCAATGGATGAGAGCTTTGCCCCACACCCACCTATCCTCATAATCAGCAGGCTCAAGGTCCACAGAATTTCTTCAGAAAGATCCCTCAAAACAATTCCGGTCACACCGTATGCCAGATGCCAACATGTAAGGTCACAAACCCATGCGTAGCCTTGTTCCTTGACCTTCTTGGTAAACCAGACTTGACCTCAAGTTATGAAAGCATGATCAGATGACTAACTGCAGCCTGAGAGCAAGCACCATGCCAGGGCCATGGCAAATCGAGCTCTTCCCAGGAACTTTGGGACCCAAAATAAAAAGTAAAAAAAAAACCTCAGAAAAACTGAGAGCCAAAGAGACAGGCCCCTGAGATAACCCAAACAGGTAGTCCTAAGGGCCTGTGGTCCACTACAAGGCAGGAGAGACCAATGAGGCCCTACCAGTCCCTGTGGCATAATCTGAGCCTTGATTTCCTCCTGCTTAGAAAAAGCAGGAATGAGGACCGGCCCGCACAGGCACTCCAGGGCACACCCAGCTTTGGCCAGCTTACCTGGCCTTACTGGGCTGTCGGTCTAGCTATTCCAGAAAATGAACATTTTCTTCCCACTCTATTTGGACAGCTGTAGGGAGATTAGTGATGACAAGAAAACATCAGATCACTGGGGTTGAGGTGAGGGGGTATGCAGAGAACAGGGCTTCAGGAAGGTGGGGTGAGCGCCCTGGATAGGAAATGGCTGAATAGGGCCAGTCTTCTTGGGACAAGGAAGATCTATGCTAGTTAGACTGCCGCCTGAGCACTGCAAAGAGGGGGAGCTAGGACGCAGGCTGGCCTAAGGGGAGGGACCAGAAGCTCAAGGGCAAGGGAGGAAAATGATTCTCTTTTTATAGAATCTATTCAGTTAAAGAGTAGGGTCAGGGACCAACCCATTAGGCTCAGATCCAAGACGATGGGGCCTCCCTTCTAGACAAGTTTCAAGGTCCACTCCTTAGTTGATCCAGCCCTGGTGGGCATGGCCCTAGAGAAGGAAGACAGCAGGAACAGGTGACAGTCTGGATCCTAAAACCTACTCACTTCCACCCTGTGGTGGTCCCATGGTGGCGCACATCATGTGCCAGACCTTCACCTATCAGACCCTAAACCCATGCCTAGGATAATGTGGTTCCTTAGCCACCAACTTCTCCTTGCCCTTCTAGGAACCAAGCTTGTCCTCAAGATACAAAAGCATGACCAGTCCACCCCACTGCGGCCTAGGGATAAGCACCACCCACAGAGCCACTGCATACCCAGTTCTTCCTAGATACCTCTGAGTCAGGGGGGGGAAAAAAACCACTTCAGAGACACTAAGGGAGACAAAGAAACAGATCCTGAGAGAACCCAAAGGGAAGCCCCATAGGGACAAAAAGCAAAAAGTAGGGTGAAGATCAATACTTCTTCCCATCCTCTCATTTAATGGTCTCTCACCAGTCTCCTTCTCCTCCTGGGTCACAGGGAATATCAGGGAAAATGAGGGAAACCGCAGCCAGGAATTCAGAGACCAGCACCACGTTCATGAGGAATTCTATTAAAAAACCACAGATGTTGCCAGGTGCTGGTGGCTCACGCCTGTCATCCTAGCCACTCAGGAGGCTGAGATCTGAGGATCCCGGTTCAAAGCCAGCCCAGGTAGAAAAGTCCGAGAGACTCTTACCTCCAATTGACCATCAGAAAATCGGAAGTGGCACTGTGGTTCAATGGTAGAGTGCTAGCCTGGAGCTGAAGAGCTCAGGGACAGTGCCAAGGCCTAGAGTTCAAGCCCCACGACTGACAAAGGAAAACAAACAAACACACAAAAACCCTAAAACCACAGACATGCCATCTTCTTTGCTTTAAGCCTTACACTCCCGCATAAGTTGCAGTAAAAGAACAGGGGTTCTTCCTCTGACCTGGCCTTCTTGCCCCAAATTATTAGTGTGCTCTGGAAACCTCTCCTGGAAAAACACTTAGGCAAATGACTCCTCTTAGCACAAAGTATGTTTGAAAGTTTCACTTCTCTCAAGGATGGACCTCTGTCTTAAAGGGAGTATATAACAAAATGTATCCTTTCTTTGCTATGATGCCTGTACATCAACCACCAAAGCTTAACAAGCAAATCAATCTTAAAAGTCTTGAGGCCAATGGATAATAGTATAATCCCAAGAGTGACTAAATGTAATGTGTATAAAAACAATGAAATAGCCAGGATATTAAAGCCCTTGGCACACCTGTTATCAGTTAGGCTGTACCCATGTTTGGATTGTATATTATTTAATCTTTTGCTTTACTAATAAACTCTCTTGGTTTCCACTTTGATATATCCTCTAATTCTTTTCTATGACAAGAATTCAGCATCCAGCCAGGCCCTGGTGGCTCACACCTGGAATCCCAGCTGCTCAGTAGGCTGAGATCTGAAGATCTCAGTTCAGGAGACTCTTATCTGCAATTAACCACCGCAAAAACAAGTGGAGCTGTGGCTCAAGTGGTAGAATGCTAGCCTTGAGCAGAAGAGCTCAGTGCCAAGGCCCTGAGTTCAAGCCCCACAACCAACAACAAGAAAAAAAAAAAAAAAGGAAAGAAAGGAAAGGAAAAAGCAAAGAATTCCACATCCAAAGGGCCAGGCAGCAGCTTCCCCTTTTCAGAGGCCTCCTCCTTGAAGCATCATCAGTTACCCATCCTGTAACATTCCCAGCCATCCCATCCAGTGTCTCTTGGTCTCCATCTCCACCTCTTCCTACTGCCTACCCACCGCCACCCACCCCCACCCCTGTTATGTAAGGGGCCTGAGAACACACAGAGAGAGCTTTGTTGTCAAACTAAATCCATACGGAGCCGGAATCGGCCCAACGCAGCTGTTCCCCATTCCCTCCGCCTTGGCAGAGTTGAGACTCCGGGCAGGAAGCCTCTACATGCCTCCATTTGGGGAAACAGGGGACAAACATTGGCCCCAGGGTCCCTAGGCAGCTGATTGGGTGGCCAGGGATCAGTCACTGCTGAGTGGGGACCACAGCAAGGAGCTAGATCCAGGTCCCAAGGCAAAGCCATAAAGACCAGTTACAACAACCATAAAGAGGAAAACTCCAGCCAGGGACAGGCAATGCATGCTAGGCCCTGAGCAGGTAGGGGCACCCCATGTGCTGTCCATATACAGATGCATGCCTGTGTGCTCTTGCACACGTTCAACCCATGTAACACTCATTGCATGCTTTGAGACACACAGGCACACACAAATACATGCATCAGCTCAAGCACAATAGGTGTGCTCACCTGGCAGGGGTCTGAGCAGAAACCTCTTCTCTGCCCTGGCCAGCTCCCTCCATTCTAGCAGATACCTCTGGGGAAAGAACTGGAGCTCTGGAAAGCGGAGGGCAGAGGTCATGGAAGCTCTTTCTGCCGCCCTTCTTTGGAGACCCTCAGGTGGTGCAGAAGGATCCCGCCTACCTGCCCAAGAAGATGTCCAAAGAGGTAGGTGAGGACCCAGGAAACAGTCCTGAAGATCAAAGAAGTGCATATTCTGGGCAGGTACTGTCTCTTCATCCACCCAACTGCAGGCACAACCATTTCCACTCAAAAATACCAGAGCTAGCTGGGTGCTGGTGGCTCACGCCTGTAATCCTAGCTACTCAGGAGGCTGAGATCTGAGGATTGAGGTTCAAAGCCAGCCTGGGCAGGAGAGACCGTGAGACTCCTATCTCCAATAAACCACCAAAAAACCGGAAGTGGTGCTGTAGCTCAAGTGGTAGAGCGCTCGCCTTGAGCTGAAGAGCTGAGGGACAGCGCCCAGGCCCAGAGTTCAAGCCCCACGACCGACCAAAAAAAAAAAAAATACCAGAGCTGCTGGCATGTGGGGTACTTTGGGCTCTCAATGAAGGCTCTCCTGAGCACCCCAACTGTCCAGGGAATCCAACCCAGACTCCCTAAGGACAACCTAAATGCTCAGGCCTGGTGGGGATGGGGGAGAGGAAGAAAAGGAGAAGAAAGAAGGGAGAAAATGAGGAGAGAAGGGCCAACATTGCCTGATAGGGCAGTTTCCCAACTCCACCAATCCTTGTCTCCAGCCCCTGGAGTCTGCCTCTCAGTTCAAGTGGACACAGCCAGTCTTATCTAGACCAGTCCACCAAGTCCAGGGACTCATCATGCCACTTCAACAACCCAGGATCTGGAGAACCAAATTGCTTAAAAGAGGAGGCAAGGGGGGAAGTATGAGCCGGGAGCCAGTGGTTCACCTGTAATCCTAGCTACTCGGGAGGCTGAGATGGGAGGATCATGGTTTGAAGCCAGCCCTGGCAGGGAAACCTGTGAGACTCTTATCTTCAATAAACTACTCAGAAAAAGCTGGAAGTTGGGCTGTGCCTCAAGTGGTAGAGAGCTAGCCTTGAGCAAAAGAAGTTTAGGGACAGTACCCAGGCTCTGAGTTCAACCCCAGGACCAGGAAAAAAAAAAAAAAAGGATGAGTTAGGGGTCAAGGTAAACATGGTTAAGTTTTAACCAAACCAGGGAGTGGGCTGCTGCCTTCTTGCCAAGTGAGAGGAAGAACAAGTTAGTAAATCTGTGCTATCACTCTATCCTTTGCAGAAAGAAATATTTATGAAATAGCTACTGTAATAATGTGGCACTAAGTGCTGGAGAATGAGACAATGTCAAGTCCTGCCCTGTGGTCCAGTAAGTTAACTGATGCCCACCTCTACTGTCCCTCCCAGGTTGAAAATGTTTATTTCCTGTGCATCTCTATCCTCTATTGGTGGGACAAATATTTATAAGCTGTATTCCAGGCACAGTGTGCTGATTAAGAACCAATCAAATTCAAGTCCTGCGTAAGGTTGGACAAAAAAGAGCTGCCAAGCTAAACTACTCCACTTTCCCTAGGCCAAAACAACAAAAAAAGATGTCTTTAGTCTCTGAGCCCCACCCAAGAATAAGAGAAGCCTAGCCAGCATTTATAGAGTACCAGTTTCCAGGTAGTGAATGTTATCTGAAATGCTATCTCATTAAGAAGTGTTAATTTCTTGGAGGAGTAAACAAAGCTAACAAAGGCAAGCTGGCTGAGAGTCTGCCCCCAGGGATACAAATCTTCAGGCTCCCCCAGCTCCCTGGAGAACTCTGCTTCAGGACCTTTGGTTCAGCATGTAGGGGGCAGAGTTCTACTCTAGACCCAGGAGGCCCAGAGTCTTCTCCCCATCACTGGACCGGGACCGTGCCAAGTGGAGAAAGTTGGGAAGCTCTCACAGAGTAGAAGTTGGACATAATGTGAAGAATACTTGCAATTAACAATGGCTGTTATCAAAGATGCCCAAGCCAAGTTCAGGAAGTAAAAACACATGTGACATGGTATCAAAAATAGGGAGAGAGAGAGAGAGAGAGAGCGCAAATTTAGCAGACTCCAATAAGGGTTTAGGGGGAAAAAATTAAGCCAATAAAATCCTCTGATCCAATTTCAAAAAATTTTAAATACAAAGCAAATATGTAGAAAGACTAAAAGTGGAGTTTTTTGTTGGTGGTGAGTAGTTTTGTGTGCCCATACATACACATGCACCACCCCAGCACTGGCGACTGAACTCAGGGCCTAGGCGCTGTTCTTTAGCTTTTTTGTTTTGCTCCTGCTGGCACTCTACCACTTGGCCCATAACTCCTCTTCAGCTTTTTGGTGATTAATTGGAGGTAAGAGTTGCAGAGACTTGCGACCTGGCATGGCTTCAAACTACAGATCTCTAGATCTCAGCTGCCTGTGTAGCCAGGATTATAGGCATGGGGCACTGTGATGTTGTTGGTTAAAGGAAATGAACGTGGCAGGTACAGCAAATGATTGGAGGACCTCAAGGTCACTAAAAAGGGTGGGCAAAGGGAAATTCAAGCTGAGGCGGGAGGGAGGAGACATCCTTTCTCTGGGGATCAGCTCCTACCCAATGCCATCTGGATTCCTGCCTGCCTCTTTGGTGTCTGAATAAAGCCCTTGGAAGTGGCCGTTCACTCTGGGGCCAGGCTGGGTTCAAGCTGTTTTCTACCCAACAGCTCACCTGGAAAGAGGGCAATTCTTTTTTCCTTTGGCTCTCAAGAAAGGAGGAAATGGGGCCAGGAGAGCAGAAAGACAAAGTTAGAAAAACCCAAGCTACATTTTCCAGTCATTCATCAAACAAATATTTAATGAGTACCTATTATTTGCTAGTCATCATTCAAGGTAATGAGAAGAGAACAGGGGACAAGGCAGCCTAAGTTCCTTCAGTTTATATTAAAATCCTAAAATCTCAAGGAGAATGCCTGAAGTGTTCAGATCTATTTCACACCACCAACATGCTTCACCTGATCAAGGTCAAGGTCCTGGTCAAGGTCACCAGAGTATGCTCCAAGGACCTCAATGACCATGAACAGGAAACTTGCCTCCTCCACATGCAGAATCCAGGAGATGGCCATCTTGAAGTCCTGCTACTATCTCTTTCCACCCATTAGCATTCTAAGAGGAATTAACCATGTCAATGCCCTATTAGAATATGCAAATTTTAAGTCAAGGTGAAATATGAGCCTTCCTCTCTCTGGTCCAGTGTCTATTCCCCCAAGCCCAGATCTCCAAGGATCCTTCTGGCTCTGCCACAAACAGTCCCCAAATGCCAGAAACCCAGAGTGTGGTCCCTCCTTCTCTCCCCTCAGCCACCCCCTCCTCCTGACAAGCACAACCTCAAAAGGACAGAGAGGGTTGTGGGTGTCTAGCATGTGTGCAGGGCAGAGGTGGCATTCCCTGGAAGGAGAATGGGATCTTTAGGGGAGATTGTGTATCCTTGAGTCAGCCCAGAATGCACCATCCCCGAATGCCAGGTAGCCAAGGTGTGTCTACCTGCGGCCATCTGGGGACACCAAGAACCAGGAGGCAGCCACCTTGGCTGCTTCTCATGCTCAGACCCCAGAAGGGCCCCTCCCCTTCTCCACGTGTCGCTGTGGCTGCCGGATGAGGTCTTTGCAGCCATGTGGGCGGCCCAGGAACCGCATTTCCAAAGGAATAGGAGCCGGCAGGAGGGGCAGATGGAAGCAATTACTGGCGGGAAAGCAGCGAGGTGGGGGGCTGGGAGGGGCCCTCAAAAAGGAGGGAAGCTAGAAAAGGGAAGCTGGAGGGAGGAGGAGAGTGCTGGCCTGGCCTGTGGCCTGGCCTACTGAGGCCTGAGAAGCCCAGTGCCTGGAATCAGGACTGCACCCTGGGGATGGGCAGGGCAAGATGTAGATTCCGGGCAGAACATGGAGGCCAGGGGTTGTGTTCCCTCTGGGTCACTAACATACTGTGGCCCTTAGCAAACCCCTCACGCTTTCGAGTCAGCGCCTCTTTCTTAAAGGCTGGTTAAGACAAGCTCGGTGGGTATGTACGGACAGAACGAGGCTGGAAAGTGCAGGTTTTTAGAAAGAGGCCTGGGTCAGAGCCCCACATCAGCAGCTTATATGCATCATGACCATGGCCACGTACTTTAATCTTCCTGCCTCTGTTTCTTCATTCTGTGAGGCACATATGAAGTGATGCAAATGAGGTTTTAAATGTATAAGACCTGACTTTTAGAAAGTGCTTGATCCATACATGGTGATTCTCTCTTTTTTCTTTTTTTGCCTGCCTGCCTTCCTTCCTTCTTTCCTTCCTTCCTTCCTGCCTGCCTTCCTTCCCTCCTTCCTTCCTTCTTCCCTCCCTCCCTCCCTTCCTTCCCACATTCCTTTTGCAGAGCTGGGAATTGAACCAGGGCTTCATACATGCCAGGCAAGCACTTTCCCACTGAGCTATACCTTCACACTCTAGATCCCTTTTCATTATGGCTTATTATACTGCAATGGACAGAAGACACAGAGCAGACCACTGACACAACTGGCATTAATGCAATCCAAGCAGCACCACCACACCCTGGAGGAGGTTTGGGTCCATGGTAGACACACAGCTGCATGCTAGCCTAGCACTCTCCTGCCTGGCTCCCTGGACTCTCCCAGATTCTGGAGACCCTAACCCCAGTACTGGCTTGAACTTAGCTGTAGGCAAGAGGACAAAGACTGTCCTTGTCCTCCAGCTGCTCCTAGGCTTCTGCAGCCAGGCGTTCCTCACACTTATGTCCCAGGAGGAAAACTGAGGGCCTAACCAAGCCTCAGAAGAGCAGCAGACCCTCCCCCCTGTTGGGCCTAGAGCAGAACATAGGGCTTTGGAGTCTAGACAATCCCATTATGTCTCTGGAGGAGGGCAGGCAGAGATGGTGCTGTGTGGCCTGGCTCCAGGTGAGACTAAAGGAAGACTTACACCTGGATACTCACACCCTTCTGTCTCTGAAAGCAACAGCCCGAGGAGTGTGGAAGGGGTTGGGAGAGCACAAGGCCAGGTGGCTAACAGCTCATTCCACAGCAGCACCGGGGAGCACAGAGGTCTGGGAAACAAGAAAGGAATGGTCTGATGACTCCAGTAACTCAAAGAAGCCAACCCTGACTACTCCGTCACAGAAACTACAAGCTTCCAGTCAACAGCCAGGTCTTGAGAAAGAAGGTGGGTCCTGAGTGCCAGGGGACCCAGAAGCAGTAGCTAAGCTACCCACTAGCAGGGAACAATCTAACGCACAGTGCATGGGGCTGAGTCAGGGGAGGGGAACAGCTACAGTGAGCTCAAGGGCCCTATCCCTTAATACTGGCCTTGTCCTTCAATGTCCAAAGTCCATCTCCTGGAGCTGGAAGCCTTGTCTTGATTGCAATCTGTTGGCTTGGCCTCCAGACCCTATGGGGCCTGGGCTCCGTATCCACCCCTCCCTTTCATACGCGCAAGGGAACTGGAACCTGGTCACATGCAACCATTAGGCGTAAGATGGAATGATCCTCTACCTACAACAGATGGTACAAATCTCAAGCCATTGTGTGAGAGGAGCTCTAATTCCATTGGGAGACTTTTGGAGTAGTGCCTCTGGGTGCCCACCCTAGCAAGGGGCAGATGCTAACTCAGATGGCCCCACCGGAAAGGAGCACCTGTCTCCTCCTTGCCTGGGCTGGGGGGTGGAGGGAATTGAGCTTCCCAGGATTTACAACACTTCGATTCTACCCAGAAACCAAAATCCATATGGCTGTAGGTCCTCTGCTCTTCAGAGTTAGAGGAGGGGGGGGGGGGAGGGGGGAGGGGAGGGGCAAGCATGAGTCACTACTTCAGGGAAGGGAGGAAAGGAGGGAAAGAAAGAACCTAGAAGATGCTAGGGGCTTCCTCCACCTGGGAAGTGGAGCCCTATTCAGCAGCAAAACCCACTTCCAAGCTAAAGATGCCTTGTCAGCCCAAAGTCCAAGTAGGTATCACTTTTTTTTTTTCCCTCCCAGAGCCTTGAACACGTTAGGCAAGCTCCCTACTAGTGAGTCATACTCCCAGATCCCAATTTACCTGTGCATGTCTGTATGAGTGGCATGTGTGCACTAACGGGGCTTGAACTCAGGGCTGGGGTATGGTCCCTTAGCTTTGCCCCTCAAGGTTGGAGCTCTACCACTTGAACTACAACTCTACTTACAGTTTTTTTGGTGGTTAATTGGAAGTAATCATCTCATGGATTTGTCTGCCCCAGCTGGTTTCCAACTGTGTTCCACAGATTTCAGCCTCCTGAGCGGCTAGGATTACAGGCATGAGCCACAGGCACTCCGCTCCTACTGCATTTTTTGGCATGTCTCCTTCTATCTATGTCCCCTCTCTTCGATGTCTCCTTCTATGTCCCCTCTCCTTGTCACCTTCAAGTCAGTCCCAACTCCTGGTTCTCCCTTGACTTCTTGATGGAATCCAGGGGCCCATGGAGCAGCCTGAGACCTTCTACACAGCAGGACAAGGCATAAAGAGCACTCTCAGAAGCACAGCAGGAAGTTGGGCCACCTCAACTTGGGCAGAGGGGACTCCTAGACCAGCTCCCAGCAAAGTGGAAGAGCTCTACAGTGACTTTCTCCACTCCAAGCAGCAGGGGTTGTAGGTTTTCACTCTAGAATTAGACAGCAGTTCTGGAAGAACAAGGGTGTGGGAGAAATGCTTCCAGCAGCCAATAGCTCTTCCCCTCCAAGGCACTTTTCACAGTACTTAATACAGATCAACTCATTAAAAAAAATCTCATGGGCAAATGCCAGGGCCTGGAGAAACAGGGTTGGAGGGTGGGGTCAGCAGGACTGGCCTTGCACAGTTGGCATGGGGTTGTGTACCGCCTGACAATGCTGCCTGTTAACAGACCCATTCCCAAGGTTCTACAAAGTCCCCCTGAACTTGGCTTCCTCTCTGTGCAGATTCCCTCCAGTGGTGCTCAGTACAGCCTGCTTGAGTGGTGGCAGTGCAGAAGGGGCCGGCCTCTAGATGACCATGAGGTCAGAGGGGGCACACTGCACCCACACACTACACCCCCAGATGTAATGCAGCAGTCCCTCAAGCCGGATCCCAGTCTGGGGAACAGAGAAAGCAGCAGTAGATCAGGCCTCACAACCCAGACAAAATCTCCCTACCCCCCTTGCCCCCACCCCCACCATCCTGGGCTGGGAATGGAGAGGGGCTGTGCTGGCAGGCGTGCTGGCTGCTATGGGCCGGCCAGAGGCCCCTGCCAACAAGGGACCCAGAAAGACACTCAGAGCAGAGAGCTGAGCCCAGGGGCTTTGCCTCCAGTTCAATCCCACCCTCTCCTTCCCACTGCCCACCACTCAGGCAAGCTTTGAAGCACAGTGCCCTAGGCCCCAAAAGACACCCCCCCCCCAACACACAATATGATGCCACGGGCATGGCCAGCCTCCTGTTGGCCACCCTACCGTTGCGCACTGGCTCAGCGACCTTGCTACTCCCACACACAGCCCCTGCACGGCTTGTCACCTTCAGCCAAGCAGATCCACGTGTCCCAGACTTGGGGGGGGGGGTGAGGGGCGGTAGGGACAGTTGTAGGAGAAACCATCGCTCAGAGCATGCTGAGAGGTGTGGACAACCTCTGCCATCCAGATCGGGGGTAGAAACTTTGCGGAGAAGAGAGAGGGCGGTCCAGTTTGCCTACTCTAAGGGCGCGAGAAGGATCGGGCTTCCCGCCGTGGGGGGATGCCCCGGGAAGCAGCAGCCCGCTGGCTCCTTAGGGCTGTGGCCACCCCACCCAACCCAGGGCCGAACTGCGTCCACGAGCTGGGCCTGTGCGCTCCCCGAGCCCCGCAGCGGGCGCACGGCTGGGGCTGGGCAGCCCGGGACCCCTCGGCGCTCCCCGCCCTCCGGCGCGGGGCCCCCGGAGCCCGGCGCCGCGTACTCACCCTCGCGGGTGGAGCGGGGCGGGGCAGGCCGGTTCGGCGCACAGCTCCGATCCGCTAGGCGCACGGACTGGCGGCGCGGGGCGGCGGCTCCGCTCGGCCCCGGTCCCTGTCCCTGTCCCGGTCCCGGGGCGCGGGGCCGGCCTGGGAGCGGGGCGAGTGTGCCGGCTCCCCTGGTGCCCCGTGTGACGGGGAGGCGGGGGCCCGGGCCGGGCGGGGGGCGGGGGAAGGGGCTGGACACGCTTGCGCACAGCGCCGGGGAGCCGGGGAGGAAGGGCGGGGTGGTGGAGGAGGAAGGGCGGGGGCGATGCTGCGCGCGGGCCCGGCCCGCGCTGGGGTGAGGAGCCTGCGAGCCCCCTCCGGGAGCCAGGCCCGGCGCCCGGGGTGCCCGGCGCCCGGGGTGCGGGAGGCGCGCGAAGACCAGGCGAAGGGGGGTGGGGGGAGGCAGAGGCGGGGCCGGAGGCGCCGGGATGGGTATGCCCTCCCGGAAACGGGGAGCTCCCCAGAATGGGCTCTCTCCTGCTCTCCCCCTGCGCTGAACCGTGACCTCCCCCTCGTTGGAGAAACTGAGGCACCGGGGACACCTCGTTCTGGGAGCCAGCCCTTCCTCATCCTCGCCACCCCAGGCACTTCAGGGTGGCCAGGTGGCCCTGGGAAGATTCCTGGGCCCCTCTTCTGCCCCAGTCTGAGCCTGCCAGGCTCCCAATCGCTGCCTCTGCACCCCTCCCTTGCACGCCCTATCTTCGTCCCCCAGTAGCGTTCGGTTTCCGTTTTAACCGAAAGTGCCAGGCAACCAGTCTCCAGGAGGAAACCCCATCAACCTCCCTAACCCTGGTTCCACACACACACACACACACACACACACCCCGAGTGAGCCCGGGGAATTGTCTGGGCTGCAGAAGAGTGCAGAAATCACTCTGCGGGACCGTTTCTTTCCAAGGTTCTCTTCCCAGGTCAGCACATGGTTTATTCAGGGGCTGGGGCACCCAAGACTCCAAGGAAAGTGTCCAATCCCTATCTCCAGGAAGCTTACCATCCAGCTGCAGAGAGATAGCTTGTTCTGAATAAGGCAGAGCTGGGAGCTGTAATCCTGTTATGTCTGTAATCCTAGCTACTCAGGGAGCTGACACCTGAGGATCCCAGTTTGTAGTCACTCCAAGCAAGAAAGTCTGTGAGACTCTTTATAATCCACACACACACACACACACACACACACACACACACACACACTGAGAAGCAGGACAGGATATGACTAAGTGCAAGCTAGTAGTGAGCTTGAGGACTTCCAGAGAAGTCCTCTTTAGCTGAAGTTTATGTCTTGCTAACTTTATCTCAGTGGTTCCTTTGGCCTTGTCAGCCCTACATTCATTCAACAAATATTTGCTGCACAGCATGCTCAGCTATAACTGGAACCAGAGAGGACTGGAGGTGTGGCTCAAGCGGTAGAGTGCCTGCCTTGTAAGTGGGTGGTCTCGAATTCAGTTCCTAACACCATAAAAAAAAAGCCCTGGGTTTGATTTCTCAGTACCACACAAACAGAAAAGGCTGGAAGTGGCGCTGTGGCTCAAATGATGTAGTGCTAGCCTTGAGCAAAAGAAGCTCAGAGACAGTGCCCAGGCCCTGAGTTCAAGCCCCATGACTGACAAAAACAAACAAAGAAACAAACAGAAACAGAACACAATGACTTAAGTCCTTGCATTGGACACATCAAGAGGAAATAGCTCACACCTATAATCCTAGCTACTCAGGAGGCTGAGATCTGAGAATAGCAGTTCAAAGCCGGCCCAGGCAGGAAAGTCCATGAGAATTTAGTCTCCAATAAACTTCTAAAAAGGAAGTGGAGCTGCGGCTCAAGTGGTAGAGCACTAGCTTTGAGCACTCCCAAGTTCAAGTCTTACAACTCACACACGCACATACACACAAGGAAGATACTATTTTACAGAAGGAAAACTGGCCCAGGAAGAAAAAACTAGGTGTGTCCCATAGCAGATCCAAGAATCAGCCTGGCCTCTCCACTTGCACGTGTGTGTTTCTGTGTGTCACACATGCATACGTGCACACACGCACTCTAGTGTTGAAGCTTGAACTCAAGGCCCAAGCACTCTCCCTGTTGCTCGTTGCTCTACCCTTTAAGCCACACCCCTACTTCCAACTTTTTATTGGTTAATTGGAGGTCTCCCAAAGTCTCCCAAGCAGCAGACTTTTCTACCTGGGGTTGGTTTGTAATTTGATCCTAATATATCAGCTTCCAGAGTAGCTAGGATTATAGGCCTAAACCACTGGTGCCTGGCTGGTTGAAATTTTTGATATCCAGTGTCTAAACAGGTTATAATTCTTGATAAGTGCCATGTAAACAAGAACTTTAAAAGCCAGCTCTGTTCCTAGAGACCTGAGTTCCAACCCTGCCTTCACCACTAAGTAGCTTTCGTTTTCTCACAAGAAGAAAAGAAATGGAAATAACAGAGCTGATTCAGAAAGCTGTCGTATTAAATAAAGCAATGGATGTGGACTGAAAGCATAACACACTATATATAACTGTGCTATTATTAAAGAGGTGGAATTCCTCTTTTAACTTATAAGCTATATGCAGGTTCTCACAACCCCAGCTTATCCTATATCTGGGGACCTGGTCTCTTGAAGCGAAGTGTAATTCTGATCACCTCTCTTTAGCCACAATGTGTTTATTCAGGACCTTTCCCCTCCAGCTTCTTAACTGCACAGCCAGAAGCCCAGCTCTGTGGCCTAGAAACTGTATCTTTGGTGATAGGAACGAAGCAATTGTTGCTTTCATCCCAGCACTGACCTCCAGACCCTTCCCAACTCCACTGAATCCTTTGGCCCACCTACAGTACCAGCTGCTTACCAAGAGGTAATGTGGTAGGCCAAGCACAGATTGGTTCATGGACTGTTCCTTCTTCAGGTTAGCTGTACTGAGGCTAGGCGAAGACAACCTGTAGAACAAATCTACATCCAGGCTGCTTCTAAGGAATGCCACCTCCATTCCTTTCCTGGCTCTCTTTTTAGTTCTCCTGCCTCTCCTGTGGTGGGCGTGGCAAGACCTCTGCTGGGGACACCAGAGGAGCAGCAGGTACAGAAAGGGGCCTATAGGAGGAGCAGGTGCATCCACACCTAGGAGACTCTGGCCCTGTGGCAAAACCCTGGCAGGCAATGGTGTGGATGCTTAACGAATGTGTCTCTTAGGCTTCTGGCTCCTGTCCTTCTCAAATGTGCCACGTTAACATCCTGCCCACCAGGAGGAGGGAACAGCACGATGCTGTTTGAAGAAGAAATAAACCCAATCTAACATCTCAGACGCTTTTAAAAATAGCAACTCCAGGCTGGTATTTCAGCTCCTATTTTTATCAGATTTATATGGCTGGACTATGGAGTGGAGCTGTTCCCAGGGATCTCAATAGCAAGGGACATCACTGTTGTAGTGTTAGAAACCTGCCAGAAGGCCAAGGCTAAATTGCATTCCAGCAAGTTTTTTTAGCTGGAAGAGATCCCAAGAAGTCATTTTAGGAAGCCCTGGCCTCTCTTTAGGGCTTCAACTAATTAACTACAAAAAGTCTGTGGTGCTAGTGGCTCATGCCTGTAATCCTAACTACTCAGAAAGCTGAGATCTGAAGATCACTGTTCAAAGCCACCCAGGCAGAAAAGTTCACAAGCTTATCTCCAATAAGCTACTTAAAAAAAAAAAAAAAAAAAAGCCAGAAGTGGCCCTGTGACTTAAGCGGTAGAGTGCTAGTCTTGAGCAAAAAGAAGCTCAGGGACAGCGTTCAGGCTCAGAGTTCAAGCTCCAGGACTGATTTTATTTTGTTTTTTTGGGTCTGGTCGTGGGGCCTGAACTCTGGGCCTGGGGCACTGTCCCTCAGCTCTTCAGCTCAAGGCTAGTGCTCTACCACTTAAGCCACAGCCACATTTCTGGCTTTTTTCTTTTTGCTTATGTGGTGCTGAGGAATCGAACCCAGGGCCTCATGCATGCAAGGCAAGCGTTCTAGCACTGAGCCACCTTCCCAGTCCTGGGGTCTCTTTTATATGGAGCTAATCCTATTTATGAAGGTTCTGCTGTCCATCTAATCCCTTCCCAAGGACCTCACTATCACTTTGGCTTTAGGATATTAATGTATTTGTGTATTTGTGTGTGTGTGTGTGTGTGTGTGTGTGTTTATACTCTGGGACTGGCACTGTCCCTTAGCTGCATTTTCACTCACAGCTAGTGCCCTAACACTTAAGCCACAACCTCCACTTCCATTTTTTTCTTGGGGGGGGGGGGTCCGGTCATGGGGCCTGAACTCTGGGCCTGGGCACTGTCCCTCAGCTCTTCAGCTCAAGGCTAGCGCTCTACCACTTGAGTCACAGCGCCACTTCCGGATTTTTTCTTTTTGCTTTTGTGGTGCTGAGGAATTGAACCCAGGGCCTCAGGCATGCAAGGCAAGCGCTCTACCACTGAGCCAACTTCCCAGCCCCTCCACTTCCATTTTTTTAAATTTGTTTTGTTTTCTTTTTGCTGGTTAATTGGAGATAAGAGTTTCATGGACTTTTCTGCCCAGGTTGGCTTTGCACCATGGTCCTCAGATCTCAGCCTCCTGACTAGCTAGGATATTAGCATAAGCCACTGGCACCAGGCAATATATTAATTTAAAGAGGGACATAAACACACACATTCAAGCTGTAGACAAGAATCTAATCCACAATATCTCATTTCTTTCATCCTTTTTTCGTCATTCTTACAACAGAAAAATAGCTACTATGTAGCCAGGCACTGATAGCTCATGCCTGTAATCCTACCTACTCAGTGGGCTGAGATCTGAGGGTCACAGTTCAAAGTTGGGACAAGCAGGAAAATCCATGAGGCTTACTTCCAATTAACCACCAGAGAGCTAGAAAGTGGAACTGTGGCTTACTCAAGAGGCAGCGTGCTGGGCTTGAGCACAAAAGCTCAGGGACAGTGCCTAGGACCTGAGTTTAAGCCCCAGGAATGACAAAGGAAAACACAACTAGTATTTATTAATGATACTGTTAGGTTTTTAATAAGAGGTAGCCGAGTAAGAACCACACCACACACGTGGTATTCAGGTAAGGGGCAGGTTTATTCATCGTTCTGGCTGGGATCAGGCCAAGTTGGCCCTCCACGCGGCTGAGAAAGGCCTGGG